CGAGTTATAGGGAGAGGTTGGCCAGGATAGGAGTTTATTCCTCCTAACGTAGGAGACTGAGGGGTGTTCTTATTGAGGTGTATAAAATCATGAGGGGCATAGATAGGATGAATGCATACAAGTCTTTTTCCCAGGGATGGGGAATTGAAAACTAGAGGGCATAGATTTAAGTTGAGAGGACAAAAATTTAAGAAGAACCTGAGGGGCAACTTCTTCACATAGAGAGTGGTGCAGATATGAAAATGGGCTGCCAGAGAAGTTGGTTGAAACAGGTACAATAGCAACATTTAAAAAACATTTGGTTAGTTAGGTGGATGGCAAGGGTTTAAGAGGGATATGGACCAAATGCAGGCAATTGGAACTAGGTGAGTGGGCACCACGGTCAGCATGGACCAGTTTGGGCCAAAGGGCCTGTATTACACTATGACTTTCTATTTGGAGTTTGTACATCCTCCCTGTATTTGCATGGGTTTCCTCCAAGTGCTCTGTTTTCTCCTACAGTCCAAAGATGTGCAGACGAGGAGGACCAGCCATGCTAAATGCCCATAGTACCCAGGGATGTTCAGGCTAGGTGGATTAGCCATGGGAAATGCAGGGTTACAGGGAGAGGATAGAGGGGTGGGTCTGGATGGGATACTCTTCGGAAGGTCAGTGTGGACTTGATGGGACGAATGGTCTGCTTCTACACTGTGGGAACTCTATGAAACAGAAGATTCTTAAGGGGCTTGATAGTGTAAATATTGAGAGGATGTTTCCCCTCAGGGATATTTTCAGAATAAATGGGGGCCAATTTAAGACTGGCGATGAAAAGTTTCTTCTCTCAGAAGGTTGAGAGTCTTTGCAATTCCTTGCCACAGAGTGCTGTAGGGGTAGAGTCCTTGCTTATATTTAAGGTCGAGATAGATTCTCGATCAGTAAGGGAATCAAGGCTAACGGGGAAAGGGCAGAAAAGTGAACAGGAGGAACATCAGGTCAGTCATAATCCTACTGAATGATTGAGCAGGCTCAAGGACCAAACAGCCTACTCCTGTTCCTATTTTCTATGGTCTTAAACTCAGAGGAACCCAGCATACTATCTCACTGTCAACTACTAAATTGCTTCTCTTTTTTAACATATCAACTACATTTTTCAAAGTACAGAACATTATACAGCAATTTATTCTGGTTTTAAATCCTAAAATATATTAAAGTAGTCTGTAAGGAATTTATGGGGTATAGGTGTGCAAGATGGGCACAGCAGTAATAAATAGGCCACCGGTTATATTACATCATTTTCCCTAATCAACGAAGTTATTGGAAGGGAAATCAGACCAGGTATACATAAGTAATTCACTCACAACCAGCCACCACGATCCCCAGTTAAAGGAGAATTTCACCTCCACTGTAGCTATCAAAGTGGATGTATGTTTAAACAGCTGAGCACAATTTCTGGTGCATTTGCTACCACAACTAGGCGATGGTCTAGTAGCATTGTCACGACACTATTACTCCAGAGACCAAGTTAATGTTCCAGGGACCCGGGTTCAAATCCTGCCACGGCAGAATGCAAGTTCAACAAAAATCTGGAATTAAGGAGTCTAATGATGACCAGGAATCCACTGTCAATTGTTTGGAAAAACCCATCTGGTTCACTAATGCCCTTTAGACAGGGAAACAGCTAGCCTTACCTGGTCTAGCCTACATGTGACTCCAGACCCACAGCAATGTGGCTGACTATTAACAGCCCTCTGGGATGAACAATATGTGCTCTCCTAGCCAGCAACACCCTCATCCCGTGAATGAATAATAAAGAACACTTACAAAAAATCCCTGTGGCTGCCATTTTAACATATAAAAGTAGATATACCATTTAAACATATCAGAATTTTGCAGAAGCTAATTTACAAATGTTGAACTAGCATTCAGCTACAATATCAGGTTTTGTTGCGAGTGACATCTAGAAGGAGAATGACTCGTGTCACAATGTAGCTTATACAAATAATTGAAACATTCAGAAATATACAGGAACAAAAAGAACACGAGTAGGCAATTCAGCCCCTCAAGCCTGTTGAACCATTCAATGAAATCATGATTTATCTGTTGTCTAAGTCCATACACCTGCCTTTAGCCCATATTCCTTCATATTGTTGCTAAACAAAAAATATCTATTTAAAAAATTAACAACGGATCCTGCATCCACTCCCATTTGTGGAGGAGAGTTCCAAACATCTAACATCCTTTGTGTGTAGTAGTGCTTCCTAGTTTCCCTCCATACATCACACAGTTGCACACAACTCAAGAAATCACTCAAGTTTATTTTTTAATTGATAAAAGGTCTTTGTTAGAAATACATATTCTCATTTGTTACTTCAGCCTAGTAGCACTATCAAATTAAACCAAAAGAAAGAACCCATCCAAACCAATAAATGAATTAAATAACTATCATTTTACCTTTTTAATACTTTGCCAGAGCCTTTCCCCTTTACGGCATCTTCATCTCCTCTTAGAACAGCCAAAAAGATTTCTGGGGTCACATTCTATATACCAGGAATAGATACAGAAGATAACAGCATGTATGAAATGAGGTAGTAATAACTGAACTTATATTCATATTTACATTTAGAGTACCTCTGCATGACCCAAACCCTTCTCAGTCAAACAAGTACTTTCGAGGAACAGCCATTTTTGGTTTTCTTTGGGTGAGTGTCATCAGTCTGGACAGCATGTGTTGTCCATTCCCAATGGCCTTCAAGCAGGGGATCCACTGCTGAGGGATCACTATTGAGCCATAGCAATCCATCTGGTGTAGATAACCTCAGTACTGTCAGGGAGATAGTTCAACAACAGACAAGAAGTTCTAGGAAGGGTCCTAACCAGGATGGCGTGTGACTCGAAGGAGGTGGTATTCCCTTGCATCTGTTGCCATGGTCCTTCTAGGTAGTAGAAATTATGGGCTTTGGAAACTGCTGGCAATAGAGTTTTAACAAACTCCTCCAGCACATCTTGTATATGGTGCTCAGTGTGCCAATGGTGAAAGCAGTGAAGATTCAAGGTGACAAATGGGATGCCAATGAAGCAAGCTGTTTTGTCCAGGATGCCGTTGAGCTTCTCATGTTGGTGCAAACTCATTCAGGCCAGTGATAGTGTTCCATCACACTCTGAACTTGTGCCTTGTTGGTGGTGAGCAGAATTTGAAAAGTAGCAAAGCAATTATTCATCGCCGAATTCCCAGGGTCTGAGCTGCACTAGTAGCCTCACTATCATACGGCTGGATCTTATTTGGGGATTTGAATTCAAATTTAGGAATCAAGGCTGCCAAAGGCAGGCTCCACAACAAACAACAAAATCAAAGGCCAGAGATATTGGTTGATGGATGGCAGTCTTAACAGTGCAGCACTCCTTCAGTTTTGCACTGAAGCATCAACGGAGATGAACACATTTGATTTTTGCATGCAGCTTTAATCCACAACATTCCAACTCAGGGAAGCATAAGTGCTACCAATGAAACAAGACAGCAACCCAAAAGGAGGCTGAATAGTACGTGAAATAATCACAAATAATTTATGCCTTCCAATAAAACAAAAGGGGGAATTCAAAGTAGCCATACAGACAGAGCATTAGTGGACTGGTGTACTGCGCCAGTTCTCACAAAATGGCAGCAAGTAGGATAATGCCTTTCATGTGATAGAATTCATAAACATTCTAACAGCATTCAACTCAGTACTTGCAAAGATTGAGGGCCAAATTATGAAATTGAAATAATATTCATTATTATTTATGTATATTCACAGATAACTACACTGACCTTTCAGTAGATAGAGCAATTACAAATCCCTTAAATACAACATCTAATATATGTCCTTCAGGAGGGTTTGTTAGCTCAGTTGCCAGAGGAATGCCAACAGTGTGGGTTCAATTCCAGCACCAGCTGAGGTTACCGTGAAGGACTCTCCCCTCACCTGAGACGTGGTGACCCTTGTGTTCAATCACTACCAGTTGTCTTTCTCTCTGAGAGAGCAATCCTATGATCTGGTAGGACTATGGTGACTTTACTTTTTATTATGATTTTGGTTCCATCATGTGGGCCATGCGTGATGGGGGTTTAAAACACTAGAGCAAGTTTGGAGCAAGGGTGCCCAGAATATGGGCAGTCAATGACCTAGTGGTATGGGGAGGCAATGGCCTAGTGGTATTGTCAGTGAACTGTTAACCCAGAGAACCAGATAATGTTCTGGGGACCCAGGTTCAAATCCCACCATGGCAGATGGTGGAATTTGAATTCAATACAAATCTGGAATTAAGAGTCTAATGATGACCATAAAATCCGGTGTCGATTGTCAGAAAAACCCATCTGGGTCACTAATGTCCTTTAGGGAAGGAAACTGCCATCCTTACCTGGACTGGCCTACATATGACTCCAGACCCACAGCAATGTGGTCAACTCTGAACTGCCCTCTGGGCAATTAGGGATGGGCAACAAATATTGCCTAAAAGTGATGCCCTCATCCCATGAATGAATAAAAAAAAATAAAAAAAAACTCAATTAGATTCCAAACCAATAACCTGGGACCACAAGCTCTGACTGAGTGATAACAGCTGTGAGGGCTCTTTAATTACTCATTTTGCTTTTGAAAATGGCCTGTCCTGAAACATTTTACTTAAAAAAAAATCTAGCATACAGCTGCCACACTGCAGGGATTCAATGATTCTACTCCGATTTGAGGGTTACCTCTGCCACATAATCCTTGACTACTCCTCTGTACACATCTTTTCCATTGGGGTGATTAATAACAATACCCTGCGTAGGATTCCTGAAACAAAAAAAAACACAACCTATTCAGTTACTGTGTATTTACAAATAAAAACTTCTCGCAACAGTTTTCACAAAATATACTTACTCCTCATTCAGGGCCAAGTCATCGTACATCATGACAATAATCCGCTCATCAGGTATTCCATGTTGGTGCACAATCTGGTATGCGTGGCATATATCAGCCTATTGTTGCAGCAAAACTCAATTAGACCAAATGTAAATTTATCCTGGTTAAAAGTGCCTTGAATATAAAAATGTGTGGAGTTTTGAGTCCTTCTAAAAACTCAAAATTCTCTTTTGTAAGGTAAACAATGAACCCAATGAGATGTAACCATTAGTAAGCAGAGTGGGATTAAACACTTCCCTAACGGCACAGGCAGCACTGTTGCCTCACAGCACCGGGGACCCAGGTTTGATTCCACCCTTGGGTAATTGTTTGTGCGGACATTCACCCCAAGTCTGCATGGGTTTTCTCTGGGGGCTCCAGTTTCCTCCCACAGTCCAAAGATGGCCTTGCCAAATTGCCCAAAGTGTCTACGATATGCAGGGGTACAGGGATAGAGTAGGGGGAATTGGTTTGAGTGGGATGCCGTTTAGAGGGTTGGTGTGGACTCGATGGGCCAAATGGCCTGCTTCCACACTGTAGGGATTCAGTGATTGAAATACACATACTTGAGAGTTAGTCGCAAATAATCTAGCATTCCACAAGTGAAATTTCATCAGAAGGACATGCAGGACCAGAACAGTGCTACAAATTTATACAGTGGATTCCATTCACACTCCCTCCCAGCATGACTCCCCCTCGAAAAACCCTGCATTTAATTTGCAGAATAGGGTTCTCAACTTTCTTGGATTATTCACATTCTCAGAGAATTAAACAAAACACTGCCACTATCAATGGGAGCAAGAGGCATTAAAAGTCTGGCTCCACACTAAAAACATAATGAAGGTGGCAGTGTTCAAAATACATGTGGGCAGTACGCAAATCAGTAAGAAAAATCAAATGGAAAATTCAATCATGGATAACCACCCACATACACAGAAGTGACAGAATCTTTGAGATATTTGCTCCTCCAATCAAATTGCAAAGGTGCGATTATCGGGAATAATGGGGGCTATGAAATTTCATATAGGGTACATTAGAAACATTTTGAGTACAATAAAGAACATTGAGATACTTGGGAGTTAGGATGGTCAAAAACAGCAACAAAAAAAGAGCTAATCATCTATAATAATTGCCCCAGACTCATTCATTGAAACATCTTGAGTTTGATTAGCTAAAAATGAGGTACAATTAAGTTAAATAAAAAAGGTACTACAACTGATATACAGCAGATGTCGTTTAGTTTCCAGTTGCTAAGGAGGCAAGGCAAAAAGAATTTGCCATTATAAATAATGCAACCCTGCCTAAAATGCCTAGGTACAGTTACTCAAAAGACTTCAACATCATAAAATATACAAAGAAAATGGGAAATTGATAAAATTTAAGGCAGTACATGATCACGAACAATTAATTCCTAGTGGAATCATACACACATGCAAACACTCTATTCTATCCAGAGCAGTACCTGATGCCTGTAGTTGTACCAGCCACTAGATCCTGCAACAAGTACAACCCAGTGTTGGCCTCCATTTTCCAGGTCTTCCAACGGAGCAGTGATGATATTAAGCAGGAGATTGTTCAGCACTAAAACTCCGAGTGCCAAGTAGTGCATTCTGCAGGGAGTCAATTAACTGATGAGTTAAAAGAAAAGGTATCACTTAATTCGAATCAAAAAATGAATACATCATAAGACTTCCTTTTTGTAGGTGTTTACTTCTGTATTTTACAAATCATTGCATCAAACGTCACAAACTGGAAAGTTACATGGTTTGAAAACACAAGGTAAATTTTTGAAAGGTGAAGCTCTTTAAAATTAACTCAATATTTTTACAACAATAATACCATACCACTTCCTGCATGGATTTTCCCCTGGTTGTTAGCTTGTAAAACATGGCACATCAATGTGTGTCAGCAGCATCATGTGGCTTGAGGTGTACAATTACTAAATCTTTTTAGGGCCAATCTAACATCAGCAATGCTGTAAAAGATTCATTCTTATGTTCAAAATCAGCACATCTATGATTTGTGTAACAATTGGAAAACATTAATGGAATCTGAGGTGAACTCCCAAAAAACTCCCAAAAAAACTCCCAAAATCATAAAAACAACTGAACTCAAATGGCCCAAGATATCAGTTACCACTTTGTCAACAGACCTACCTTTGAGCAGTGCAACAATGTGAATTCCAAGACACAAATTAGTTCCGTCATGAATTAACATCTCCCATGCAATGTACACAACAAAAGCGGGAGATTTACCATTGTGACATATGCATAATGGGAAGGTAAAAGAGTGCATTCTCCATCTTTCAATCCATTTTGACTGGATATTGTGCACAGCATGTACAAGGAAGCACGGGTATTCTTTTGGTAGAAATTTGAAAAATAAATTCATTATTTTGGTTATGGCCTATTTTACATAATTTGCATCAAGTTCCACAGTTCATTGACAATTTAGGACGACTGCTGCTGCAAAAATAAGAATGCATACCCGTTTCATCATATGCTTCCTCAACATTATCAAAGCAAAATACATTTCACTAACAGCAGACTTTACAATGTCCTTGTTAATTTCATGGTAAAACATGTAGCAGTTACATAACTGTAAAAAAAACATAACTATACCATTTCATAACAAAATTTAATGCAATTCTACTAGTTCTTCTTATTCTTTGCTATTACTTCGAACCATTTGGAGCTGAATGAATTGATAGAAAATTTCACTGCATGTGTGAGAAATGACCATTACAAAGCAGCCACTGGACATGTGGACCAACTAAAAAAGGAAATTGTGCATTTATGCAGCACGTTTCATGACCTCAAAATGTCCAAAAGCACTCTGCAGCCATAGAACATAGAACATAGAACATTACAGCACAGTACAGGCCCTTCGGCCCTCGATGTTGCGCCAACCTGTGAAACCAATCTGAAGCCCATCTAACCTAAACTATTCCATTATCATCCATATGTTTATCCAATGACCATTTAAATGCCCTTAAAGTTGGCGAGTCTACTATTTTTGCAGGCAGGGCATTCCACGCCCTTACTACTCTCTGAGTAAAGAACCTACCTCTGACATCTGTCCTATATCTATCACCCCTCAATCTAAAGCTATGTCCCCTCGTGCTAGCCATCACCATCCGAGGAAAAAGGCTCCCACTGTCCACCCTATCTAATCCTCTGATCATCTTGTATGTCTCTATCAAGTCAACTCTTAACCTTCTTCTCTCTAACGAAAACAGCCTCAAGACCCTCAGCCTTTCCTCATAAGATCTTCCCTCCACACCAGGCAACATCCTGGTAAATCTCCTCTGCACCCTTTCCAATGCTTCCACATCCTTCCTTTAATGCGGTGACCAGAACTGTACGCAATACTCCAAGTGCGGCTGCACCAGAGTTTTGTACAGCTGCAACATGACCTCATGGCTCCGAAACTCAATCCCTCTACCAATAAAACC